ATGCACAAAGTACATGGTGCAAGCTTTGAAAGCTCCACTGTCTTCTTCATCACGCAAAGGTGTTAAGAATCATATGGAGGGGATATAAAATGACAATGTTAGTCACAGGCTTGCATTTTCTCAAGGTGTTGCTGGTGTGTTATTCTTTGGAGCAATATCAATGCAAGCAGGTCCCTCCTCCTCCTGGCCATGTGGCCTTGGGAATAAAGCATTCCAAAGTCCAGAAGATAAAATTTTAATTCCATTAGTGATGCAACAAGTTGAGATCCCAGATGTCTCTATCCTTTATGAGGTCACAACCTTCTTTATTAGGTAGAGAACATTGAATCTCTCAAGAGAAGCCTGATGAAGAAGCCAGTGGAGCTTTGAAAGCTTGCATCGTGTATTTAATGCAATTGTTGGTCAAATAAAATTATCACTGTTTTATAGATTTGGGGTGTTATTGTACTTTTCTATATGGACAATATGGCTACCCCTGATTATGCTTCCGACTGTGTTATTCTATGACTACATAACCCAGAATTGAACACTGTGCTGGCTGCAGCATTGTGGGAGCTGTAGTCTAACACCACTGGAGGACACTTAATTAGGGAATACGGAGTAGTGACACTATTTAAATAGATTGTGTATTTTCCAGAGTGCCTGCTTATTGTCCGATACAGTGTGGAATGCGCACTGGCGATTTATGCAATCCCAGTGAATCAAATGATACATCAATGACACCAAACAAATAGTTATACACAATCAGAGAATGAAATCAGTTGTTCGATGGGAAGTCAACAGTTGGTGTTGTATTGTAAGAGTAAGGTTGGTTGTAGTGGTCGAATATTGGACTAGGACCCCATGGGACCAGGGTTCGAATCCCTGCTCAGATGTGGAAATCCACTGGGTGAAAGAGTATGGGAAAATCACACTCTTTCACCTTGAGAAAACAGCAATGGCAAACCTCCTCTGAATAAATCTTGCCAAATTCTAGGAAAAAGACTCCATCAGTCAGAGTTGACTTGAACACATATCAATGTAACAAGTAGATGATATTGTAGAGAAAAGCCAGCAGGGTGTTGTGGTTGGAACCAACACTCTGGGAGACCAGAAAACCTCACTGAGTGACCTTGGACAAGACACATCCTCTCAGCCTCAAAAGAGGGCAATCTTCCTCTGAATAAATCTTGCCAAGACAATGTCTTACCAAGACATGAAAATTTCACCATAATTTGGAGTTGACTTGAAGGCACATGGTAAAAACCAATAGAGTAGAAACCTGGAAACCTGTAGAACCACTGAATCAACTGTTGAATGGTGAATCGACACAGAGATAAACCCTATTGATTCAATGGGTCTACTTTAGTTGGGCCTAATAATAGGCGTGAGACCCATATGAAACAATTACACTTGTGGATCTCTGCTGACACAACCATAAAACAAAGATATCTGTTGCACAACAACCAAAAAAGCATAACAACGTGTGTAAGGCAAATTACACACTTGTGTGACGGCAACATGATTCTGACCAAAATGTGCTTTTAAACACACACATACAACGCTTTCACAGATCATAATGGGACACCCTTGCACTTGGGACTCCCCCTATTTGGCACTTTCGGCTCTCCTGCAAGGTGTGGTTCACAGCATTCCTTTGTTTGCCGATAACGCTTTCTTTCTTTCCCAGCCCCTTCTTCTCACAAGCATTTATATATTCACAACCACACAGCTGTTAAGAAAACATTTGCCTCTTCAATGTATTCCAGGATTTATTGGCCAAAAACTGATTGTGAAAAGGCTAAGCGTTTATCTACATTGTAGAAATAATGCAGTTTCATACGCCTTTAAGTTCTGTTGCTCTATCTTGTAGAATTATGGAATTTGTAGTTTTAAAGTGTCTTGTCCGTCTCTGTCAAAGAGTGTTGGTCCCTCACAAAACTACAAATCCCAGGATTTCTAAAGGATGGAGCCATAGCAAACTGTCAAACTGTATTGTTTCTATGGTGTAAATGCACCCTAAAAAAAAAAAAAAAAATGGTGGCGACTTGAACAGAGTTTGGAAAAGTAAATTTTTTGAATGACAACTCTAAGGACGTTTTCACACAGGCGGCTCTAAAGCCGCCTGGAAG